TGGGGGTATTGTCCTCCCAGAACTCATGTGGAAATCTGATCCCCAATGTGGCAGTGTTGGGAGCTCTTTGAGTCATGGGGGCAGATCCCTCATGAATGGATTCATGCTCTCCCTGGGGTTGGGGGTAGTGAGTGAGTTCTCACTCTGTTTGTTCTCGTGAGAGCTGATTGTTTAAAAGACCCTGGCACCTCCCCTCTCTCTCTTGCTTCCTCTCGCCATGTGATCTGTTTGTACCCACCGGCTGCCTGCCACTTTCCACCATGAGTAGAAGCAGCCTGAGGCCCGTGCCAGATGCAACTGTCCCAGAATCGTAAGCCAAATAAACTTCTGTTCTTTACAAATTACTCAGGCTCAGGTATTCTGGTATAGCAACACAAAACAGAGTAATACATGCATATTTTCATGAAAGCCATAATGAACTAAAATGTCCCATTCCCCTAAGCTCTATAGTCAACTTTTTGAATGGCCAGAATAAAGCAAGAATTAAAGAGGATGGCAACTGAACTTTTTTTTTTTTTTTTTACATACAGTAAGGATTTATTGAGCCAATATGATGATTGCAACTGGGGAAACACGTAGTCTGGTCACTTTGAGAAATGTGTTCTGAAGAGGAGCAGCACAGCTTAGCATTTATTTTTTTTAATTTTTTATTGAAACATATTAATTGTACATATTTATGAGGTACAGAGTTATATTTCAATACCTTTTACAAGGTGTGATCTATTCAGGGACATTAGCATTTTCATCATCATAAAACTTAATCATTTATTTTTAATGTGTGCATTTGATCTCTTCTCCTAGTCATTTGGTAACATGTAGTAAATCATTGCTAATTACGGATTCTTGGGTCAACTGTACAGCCATAGGGCTTATTTTTTCTCTATACTTGTAATTTTGTGTAACCAGACTCTCACTATCCCCCTCCCCTTCCCCTTTCTTGCCTCTAATAACCACGGTTGTTCTCTCTCCTTTTAAGAGTTCAATTTATAATAATTATTATTTATTTGTTTTTGTTTTGGTCTCTTTTGTAGTACCCACATATGAGTGAGAACATAAAGTATTTTCTTTCTGTGACTGGCTTATTTCACTTAACATAGTTTTCTCCAAGGTCATCCATGTTGCTGCGAATGGCAGAATTTCATTCTTTTTTATGGCAGAGTGGTATTCTATTGTGAATATGTAGCACATTTTCTTCTTCTAATCATCTGTTGATGAACATTTAGGTGGGTTCCACATCTTCGCTATTGTGAATAGAAATGTGATAAACATGGGAGTACAGATATCCCTTCGACATGATGATTTCCATTCCTTTAGGTATATGCTCAGTAGTGGGATTGCTGGGTCATATGGTTTTTCCACCTGTAGTTGTTTGAGAAATCTCCACACTGTTTTCCATAATGGCTGTACTAATTTACAGTCCCACCAACAATAAGGGATCCCCTTTCTCCATATCCTCATCAGCATTTATTTTCTGTCTTTTTCATAATAGTCAGTCTAACTGGGGTGAGGTGATATCTCAGTGTGGTTTTAATATCTCAATGTGGTTTTGATTTGCATTTCCCTAATGATTAATATCATTGAGCATTTTTTCATATACCTTTTGGCCATTTGTATGTCTTCTTTTGAAAAATGTCTATTCAGCTCCCTTGCCCATTTTTAAATTGGGTTATTTGTTTTTTTATGATTGAGTTGTTTGAGTTTCTTATATATTCTGGATATTAGCCCCTTGTTGGATGCATAGTTTACAAATATTTTCTCCCATTCTGTAAGTTGTCTCTTTGCTCTGTTGATTGTTTCCTTTGCTGTGCAGAAGCTTTATAGTTTGACAAAATCCTATTTGCTTATTTTTGCTTTTGTTGCCTGTGCCTTTGAGATCTTATTCATAAAATCTTTGCCTAGTCCTATGTCCTGGAACATTTCTCTTGTGTTTTCTTCTAGAAGTTTTGTAGTTTCAGGTCTTACATTTAAGTTTTGAACCCAGTAAGAGTTGATTTTTGTTTATGGTGAGAGTAATGGGTCTAGATTCATTCTCCTACACTTGGAACCCCACTTTTCCTAGCACCATTTATTGAAGAGGCTGTCCTTTCTCCATATATGTTTTTAGTGCCTTTGTCAAAGATCAGTTGGCTTTAAGTATGTGGGTTTATTTCTGGGTTTTCTATTTTGTTTCATTGGTTTGAGTGTCTGTTTTTATACCAGCACCATAATCTTTTGGTTACTATAGCTTTGTAGTATATTTTGAAGTCAGGTAGTGTAATACTTCCCACTTTACTCTTTTTGCTCAGGATTGCTCTGGCTATTTGAGATCTTTTGTTGTTCCACATGAATGTTAAGATTGTTTTTTCTATTTCTGTGAAGATTGTCATTGGTATTTTGATAGGGATTGTGTTAAACCTGTAGATTGCTTTAATAGTATGGACATTTTCACAACATTAATTCTACCAATCCATGAGCATGGAGTGTCCTTCCAATTTTTGTGTCCTCTTTAATGTCTTTTATCTGTGTTTTGTAGTTTGCATTATAGAGATCTTTGATCTCCTGGGTTAAATTTATTCCTAGGTATTTTGTGGTTTTTTGGTAGCTATTGTAAATGGGATTGCTTTCTTGAATTATTTTGGCAGCTAAACAATTTAGTAACCAGAGATGACCAAATTTAGTCTCACTAATAATCACCAGATGAAATTAATGCACATCACATTGCTCGTGCTCCCATCAAGGTCCTGTGGCCTTGGCTTCGAGCTCGGATATTATTTTTGATTTATGAAAGTATATATGCCATTCAGAGCTTTCAACTAAACCCTGGCCCTTAACTCTGGATCTGCCTACTGGTCATTTCTGCCTACTGGATATGTCCTGTGTATACCCATATCCAATCAAGATATTAATACTGAACTCATTTATGAACTGCCAAAAATTTGCTCTCATTCTGTGTCCTCAGTTTCAGAGAATTGTAATGCTGCTTACCAGATTGTCAGAGGTGGAAACTTTTCAATTATTTAATGACTCCTTCCTCTCCTTTAACTCCTTCAACTATCCTCCAGGTTTTATAGTTTCTAACTTCTCTTTTTTTGTAGTTTATAACTGCTTTTAGTTTCTACTCTCATTGCCTTTGTTGACACACTCATAAAACTCATAAACAGAAAGACCTAGTTTGAATCCCAGTCCTGCCACTTTCTAGCTGTATGATTTGGAGGAGACATTTAGATTACATTTCCTTGCATGTAAAAACAAATCACACCTCCATAAAGCTGGGGGGGGAAAAAAGACATCTGTATATAAAAAAAAAAAAACAAGATTATGACATTAAAGAAAGGTTTAATAAATTATAACGTGTTTTCTTAAAAAACAATGCATTTAGAGAATGCCTGGAAGGAACTATTAAAAATTAAAAAGGTAGATAGATAGGCAGGATCTCTGACTGACAAGGTAGTTTTGAGGATTACATGAGGTATTCTAGCAAAAAGTCAACACAGTACGTGGTTTATTATGGACACTGAATGATAGAAAACCCTGTGTTCATCATCATACCTCACACAGCTGGACTGCTTATGTAGCAAGACCTTGGGAAAACTTCTTAACCTTCCTGTGCCCAGCTTCCTAATCTGTAAAGTTGAACTAACAATAAGACCTACTTTGTATGTTTGTTCTGAGGGTTAATTAATTTCATACGGTTTATACATGTATAGATGAGAGTAGTGTCTAGCACACAGTAAGCACTTAATATATGTTTATTATAAATATTAATGTTATCATCATGAGAGTCTCTCTGTCTTCAGTCTTGTAAACTAACAATCTATTCTCCCACCTCACCATCAGAATCTACGTAAAATACAAGTATCTTCTTTTGCTCCAAATCTTTAAATGCCACTCTCACCCGCAGGAGGTCTTATTCTGGACCTCCTTACCTAACTGGGATCTCACCTAGGCCTTCAATTTCCATTCTCATTTCCACTGCTTATCACAAACTCCCTATATTGAGGCCAAAGAAAATCTATTTTTTTCCATCCACGAACAAATAAACAAACAACAAAAAAGCCATTTTATCTCATATCTCCATAATTACCTCATGTCAGCCTGACAAATTCTAATATGTAGTTTAAAATTCACCACAGTAATCCAGTACTTCATGTAACTTTCTGTGCCCCGCATAGCAGAATTATATGCTTCCAACTTAATTACCGTAATCTTGTCTTTGTATTTCTGAAGCCCAATATTAAGTTGAGTTACTTAATACATGTTTGTTTAAAGGTTTGGAGTAGTGAAAAATTATCAAAAAAGTAAACTACATATATATTTATACATACATATATACACGTTATATATGCCACATATATAAAAAACTACATAATCATATAATTTAATATTGTTCTTGTGTTTATGCTGATGATTTCTCATATGTAGGATGTGTTGAAAACTAACATTTATTAGGAAAAAGTATTTGTTTTGGCTTTTCCATAATTACTTACTGAGTCTTCCTTAAGACAAGCAGCACATTTGCAAATTGCATAGATGGTACAAAGCCTGGGTCTGCAAAATAGTAATACTAGTTGATTCACAATGTGTCACTAACTTGGGCATTGGCCAAAACAGTTGCTCTAACAAACTAAGATTAACAGCCAGTGTAAATTGTGAGAAGTAAGGCAGAATGGTTAAGAAAATGGGCTGTGCTTTTAGAAAATCTAAGTTCACATTCTAGTCCACTACTTACTAGCTATGCTTGTATGATCTTAAAAGAGTTCCCTAAACTGTGGGAGACTGCTTACCTAATAAAGTAGTGATACCCAAATAAAGGGATTATCGGGAGTATTAAATGAGGTAATAGGAGTTAAGTTTCAAACATGCTCTATCAAACATTCAAATTCACAAGATTCGCAAGACTTTATGAGCCACACTTGGTGTCAGTCTGCTTAGAAGAATATAGACTATGAACTAGAACTTGTCATCATTGTAGTATCAGACATTCCTTATTTGGTGGGAATTCCCCTAGAAATGTATGCAGTATGTGTCAGGTACAAGAAGATGAGTTCCACATCAGGTAGGTCCAGGAGCTGCCCTGGCTTAAAAGCTTCATGCCTTACAGGAGCCAATATCTCTTGAAGTGATACCATAGTCATAACCCCCAAGGTCATCACAAGAGACAAGAGTTGTCACATGCAGGGAAGCCCAAAGATGTGGCTGTCCACCAGGTATTTATAGTTTCCTCAGTGCTGGTGTAATTTATCCAAAGGGATCATTTTGTCATAAATAATATGACCTAGTAACATAATTGACATTCCAACTTTAATCAGATTACCAGGATAATTGTGACTGGGGCAGTTAACTAATGGTCACATTCTCTACAAATAGTAAAAAGGGATTGTTAATCGTTTGCCTGCACACAAAATATGAACTTATTAAATATTAGAGGATAATATGTGCATATATGAAAATAATATATGAAAATAATCTCAGGAAGAATAAGAAATTTATCTAAAGGAAATGAAATATGTAGAATTTGAAGAGAGGAGGTATATGGGGAATCATTTGGTCATTATTTTGCTTGATTTCCATGGATAAACTCATAACTGAAAGAGTGAAATCTTGATCATCACAGAGAAAGGTTTGCTCCACATTTACTGTTGTACCTAATGCATCATTTGTACTTAATACATGACATCATGACATTTGAATAAAATGGGATTTTGGTCTTCATTGATATAGAGAAAACAGAGCTGACTCAGAACCTTTTGCCATCACTCTCAGATGAGCTTCTCCCCAGAACTATCAACTCAAATTGACTGAGGTGCTTTGAGCTCTAATCATCTCCTAGGAATGTAATTTTCATACATGTGCCAATAAGATTAAGAAGATTGAATGTGAGTTGTTATATTAAAGTGGACCTACCTCTCTCCATGGTTGATTACCACAGTTAAATGTAGCAGCTAAATGATGGAGCAGAATTTATCAGTGCATTCTCCCATTGGACCAGATATCTCTTCATGGTGAGAGGCTGCCTGTCATGTAAATGTGCATTATTCATTACTGAGAATGGACAAGAGTTCAACTAAGAATCAACACAAGTCCATCCAGTTTCAGGAAAATTCCTCAAAGTTCATGTGCCTTTAATCATTGACATCCATAACATCATCTTAATTTTCATATGCAGACATTAAAATTGAGAATTCAACATCCCTCTAATTCAAGTAGGAGTTGATAAAGTTTGAACATAAATACTTTACTGACAATATATATATTAGAGATATTTTCAGAGGATGTCTTTATAGTATATAGGCAAATAAATGTATATTTCTAATCCTTATGATGTGTTTAATTAGGATACCCATATGTATACTGTGTATTAAAGTACAAATGGAAAAGTTGATGTATTTGAATAGGCATACATTATAATTGTAAGTCACAGCTAAAGTTGCAAGGGATATTAAAAAATGTTACAGCACATATTCAATTAATTTTTCTATTCAAAACAATATTTATTAAGTTATCCAGGCATATTTATTTAAATCACTAAACAGAATGGAAAATAGCATATGTTAACAGTTCTCGGTTTCTCATTTTCTAAATTAAAACAAATCTGGAATGAGTAAAGTGAACAATATGGTAAATTTAGCTTCAGCTAATTTTGCTTAATCCCCCTTATTTTCTCTTTCCTATCAGTGGTTTAACAACTCTTACAAATAGGTGGAAATGCAGAGGTTAGCTTTGAGTCTAACTGCTTTTACACATCATAAATGCTGATATATTTTCAGTGAAATTGGAATCACACCTCCAAGTGGAAATAAAAATGCCCAAGCTGATTGCACTCTGGAATGTAAAAGACAAAGTTCATAACTGCCTGTGAATCTGATGAGAATATCAATGCTCTTTTGCAGCTTTTGCCAGCAAGAGAAGCTGCCAATGACCTTCCAGTCTTGTGTGATTACCAAAGAGTGCCAGGTGTCCGAATGGGCAGAATGGAGCGCATGCTCAAAAACTTGCCACGATGTGAAATCCCCTACAGGCACTCGTGTGAGGACACGGACCATCAGGCAGTTTCCTATTGGCAGTGAAAAGGACTGTCCAGAACTTGAGGACAAAGAACCCTGTGTGTCTCAAGGAGATGGAGCTGCCCCCTGTGCCACGTGAGTAAATACAAAGGGTTCAGCGTCTGCCCAAATTGCATGTTTGTTCAGTTGTTTGATTTCACTGAAGAGTAGGTTGAGAAATGGTGAATTTTACACATTCTAAGTGAAAAAATAAAATATCTCTTTACAAATACTATTCTTTAAAAACATACAAGTGTCTTTAACAAGCCGTATTTCCAAATCTCCATGAAAGCTAGATTTTTTTAAAACAGCAGTTCTGTGTTTATGTATTTTCTATAATAGGGATTGGCAAAACTTTTCTGTAAAAGGGCAGACAGTATATAGATTAGGCTTTATAGGCCACATATGTCTCTGTTGCGATGACTGAACACTGCCATGGAGCTATAGACAATATGTAAAAAAATGAGTGTGGATTTGTTCCAATAAAACTTGATTTACGAAAACAGGTGACAGGTTCATTTGGTCCTTGGGCCACAGTTTGTCAACCCCCATTCTATAAGGTGAAGTCAACTTTCCAAACATAGGTTCCTGCCGCCTGTTAAAATTCAGTACTGTATATAACAAATTCTAATCAATAAAGTAAAACACTACATTAAAATTAGACATTAAGCTTCTTGAGGACAAGGATTGTGCTTATTAATCTTGATTATTATTGTTTGTTTTATATCACAAGGCCTGGCGCACAGTAAGTGCCCAATAAACATTTATTGAATCCAGATGAAATAAAACTAGTTTTGAAATATTTAGCAGTATAATAGTATTCTTTTTATTCTTAACAAAATATAATTTTCAAGACATTACTGTGAATTATCTTGGCAATAACAATATTTCATCTTAGTCTGAATACAGAATATTTATAAAGTAATTTAGACAATCTTAGTTTCTAAATAAAGATGCACAAACTTCACTGAGAGCTTCTCTAGAATATTCTAAATATTTAAAGAATAGCTCTACCTTCATGAATCACTGAGGAGCCAAATTAATACTACCAACATTATTACTACCAATAATAACCATAATAATGACGAAATAGTGATGATTTGTACAAGATCTTCAATTCTGCAGCACTTTGGAATCATGTATTATTCTCCAGCATAACAAATGACTAAAAATTCCACAGAGAGTTTCCTTCCTAACATCCCTACCTGTCTCAGTGACTTTCGTGCTTCCTCTATGCACAATAGGCTCAAGAAATTTGCTGGGATTTCCAGAGTGTTTTTTCTTCTATGAGTTTCTTGTATTTTTGTCTCAAGCTAGGTGTTTTATTTTTTGTCCTGTCAGGTATTCAAACACCATTAGCAAAATAAATATATGTCCTTGAGTCTCTTTCTTCTCCCCCTTTTTTGGAGGTAGCATTTTTCTTGGAATGTGTAACCAATTTGCATTATTGAAAGTCTTTCTCTAACAGGACTTCTTGGGATGACCTAAATTCGAACTCCATTCTATAAAAAATTAAAATGTTCATTTTATCTCCCCTAACGAATGACTTCATTGGGTTTATTTCCTTTCCCGCCCCCAACCAGGCATCAATTATCTATGTTTATAGACTTGACCTGAGTGCTGCACTTTCTTTATAAAAAGATGTCCAGACAGTTTTTTCTTGATGACCCAGAACCTAGAACTCTGTAAAGACATGAATCTTCACTTATATAAATGAAAAACATCATGAAGTTCAGCCTGACTGTCACAAGCTTTCCCACTGGCAGAGAGAAGCATCTAAATCAGACATCTGAGGGCCTGCTTAACCTTTTTGTCTAGTTGAGATAACATTAGCACATCCATTTATACCCAGGTTGGCTGTTAATCTGATTACTAAGGAAGCATGTTGGTTAAAGTGACACAGAGTGCTACATGAGCCATTTCCTTTGTGCTTTTAGAATATCCATTTTCCTTGAGGTAGAAAACTGCCATCACTTTCTATCTTCGATGGCATCAGGAAGTGGTTCATTCAAGCACTTGGCCTGACAACCCCTCAACATTTCTTTCACAACATAATCTTGATTGAAGCTTTAATTGAGAATCAGAGATCATCTTTCCTGTGCTCCACTGGCTTGAAACATCAGCTCGTCATCATTCATCAGTACTCATCAGGGATGCTCCATGCTACAGTAAAAAAAAAAAAAAAAAATTCTTATTCTTGGCAATAAAGAGAAAACTATGAATTGTTCTGTTATATTTTTTAAATATCCTAACATAAAATTATAATTTTGCTCCAGTATGAAGAAGCATTTTTCATTCATTTTATTAAAGGCAAAACAAGTATTTGGTTTCATCATCACTCGGATTCAAGCTTCCTTTTTTATAAGCATCAAGAAAGGGCAAGCCTGGGTTCAGCTTAATTGAACATAAAATTTCATGTTTTCGGCATTATGCTTTCTCGTCATAAAATATTTATAAGGAACTTCCAGTAGTTGCAATTATAACAAGGACACACTAAATTTAACCCCTCTTTAAACGGAGCGCTAATGAGGCTTAAGGAGAAGGGATTGAAACTGAATCTGCCCCACATGTGTGGTCCACGATGGACCCTAGAGGAAAATGTCTTTTAGATTAATTTTCTAAGAAAAAAAATGAAAGGAGTGGAGAGCAGTTTGATTGCCACTGTTTCCTTTCTTTAGGTACGGCTGGAGGACGACGGAGTGGACCGAGTGCCGCGTGGACCCGCTGCTCAGCCAGCAGGACAGGAGGCGCGGCAACCACACGGCCCTGTGCGGAGGAGGCGTCCAGACCCGAGAGGCGTACTGCGCGCGGGCCCCCGAAAACCTCCCCTCCAACCTTAGAGCCCGCCCGGACGCAGAAGGTAAACTTTGCTCGCTTCACTCGAGGACTCACGCCTGGAGGCCGAGCAGGCACTTGCTCCGGAGAGCTATTTCTGTTCACATTGCAGTTGGTATCCACTATGCTAAATCGCAATCCATATTATGATTGTAAAAAAATTTAATACAACTCCACCTTTGGTCAGTTCTGCTTTACTAAGTCTCTTTTTAAGTTTTTGATTTAAACACCTTCCTGACTCAACCTCTGCATCAAAATTTAGCAGGAGTGTTTAATTATAAAACTAGAAGAAAAATTCATCTGGTATGTGTACACATATAATGCAAGTATATATTCTAAAGAACAAAATATTCTTGATCTGGGAAGTAAAACCTGCTTGCAAAAAAATCTCATTCTCACGCCCCCTCCCCCTTCCTTCCTCCCACCCTATCCCTCTCCCCTTTTTCTGTCCTCCTCTACCCCAACTGCTCTGCAACATCTTAGAATATAAAAATAATAACAATAATAATAAATAATTTTTTAGACATCTCATTCTGTTAAAATGTGGTTAAAATAAGTTAATTATGGTATTGAGTAAAATTTTCAATTTGAATTTAAATGAAGTAAATAAAGAATAAAAAGTACAGTAAAAGAAATCTTGAACCCAAAGGCATGATTTTTTTTAACCCTTTGATAGTTGAGCAGACATATCTTAGTATTTTTGGTTTTGTTTTGTTTTTAATCTCAGTGTTGGGACCAGATGCAATAAGTATGCAAAAGAATAAGTGAATTCAATATCGCCCAGGCTTAACGTTTATGTTACTATATATTATCATTACTGTAAAGTTCTTATTACTGAGTCAAGTTCATATTGAATTAGTAGTTCTTAAGTCCACACAAATACGAATATTTTTAAGCAGTGCTGTAAGCAATTCTTCTTACACACCCTCTCTCTGAGGGATAGCAGGACTTTTATCACTAATCCATTCAACGTATATGGATTGGTTGCCAATAGAGTTTCAAAAACTGTGTAAGAGAGTAAGGACAGAAATATCAATACAGATTTCATGTCATGGGAGTCCTCAAAATCATCATGAGGGCACACAAATAAACCAATAGTTATAATACAATATGATACACAGTACAACTGAGTTGTAGAATGACCAGAGGGGGAATCACAGAAACAGAGTATCTCATGGAGGAGGTGGCACTTGAGCTGAGTGATGATGGGTATTCTCCTCACAGATAAGAGGGTCAGGAATGCAAGAAGGAGTTTATTCCAGGCAGAGGGAACAGTGTGTATTAAGGCACAACACTAAAGAAAAGCAAAAACAAAGGGAAATCTTGTCCGTAAAGATGAGCATATTGTATTTGGCAAGTTGCAGACAGGACAGGAAAGGAGAGAGTAATATTTCCTAGGAAGTACATTGGTTGGAAAAGGAAGAGAATAAGGATAAAGACCCTAGTAGATACCAGCAAATGAAAGACCCCCCCCCAAAAAAAAAAACCAATAACAACAGCAGCAACAAATCAGGGAAGGAATCTGAGCAAGACTGATCAGAGAAGAAGGGAAAGAACCAAGAGAAACAGATATTTTAAAAACTCAAAGAGATGGCTCTTCTGCCCCTCCCTCTCAAAAAAGAATGGCAACAACCCCCCACATACACACCACACACACACACACACACACACACACACACACACACTCACAAAGAATGACACCAGTTACTGGTAACTCATGGAAGGTAAGCACTGAAGTTTTGCATTTGAAACTTCCAAAATTTAATTGTCCTGTATGCACTAATTTTACACAGCATGCCAACTCATTTAGGTATCTAGCTTAGGGATACATTTTACTAGTTGTGTATCTTGAGGTTGTAAGAAAGTAGCATAAAACATGTAATGTTAGTACATTAATATTTTCTTGGCCATTTTTATGGCTGCATTTTTAACACTCTTAGGTGGATTTATTATAGCAGTCCTTTCAGAGTAGTATAATTTCATTGCTAGGGTAGATCAGATTTTGGTTTCTGAATGTCAATTATGTCCTATAGGTTATTACTTTCAAAAGATTCTTCAGAATTCTGAATTACAACTGGATATATATTTTTTAATCCTTTTTTTCATAGAGTCCCCCACCCCTACCAAACCACTGCAGAGCACCAAAAATAAAAGTCACAGAAAGAAAGAAAAATAAAAGAATATCATTAAGATATATCTGTAGGAATAAAGCAAATGCAAAAAAAAAAAAAAAAAGAAAAAAGAAAAAAGAAAAGGTCAATAGTTATGGACGTAATTAATACACCTATCATTAATATTTATCATGTAAATATGTAATATGAATAACCTAGGAATTTTTGTCCTTTCATATCAAATACCAAGAATACTAATAAGCCTCTCAAAGTCTTTGCAAAAACAGTTGATTATCCCTAAAAGTTGCAGTTTTTATTCCTCAGGACTTAGACTAGGTGAGTTTCCTCTTAGGAGCACTTAACATTTCCCAATAGGTAACGTAACCAGCACACCAGTATCCCGGGGTGACATGTAAAGACTATAAATATGAGTGACTGGAGAACAGTTAGAGTGTGGGCTGTGAAGATTGTTTACAGTCTGTCTTCATTTGATAACTACAAAGGAATGAAAGTCTACCTTACAAATAGAGAAACCTCTCAAAACAACTCCCCCAATCAATCCTAAGAAGTTACTGATTTCAAGAAACCTTGACTGTGAAACCATGAACGGCCATCCTAAGAACAACTCACATTGTACTTAATTTTAAGAACAAGGATTACACTGTTCTTTTTTGCAGATTCACACTATGTGTTCTGTAGATGACTTGTTTCCACATGTAACCACAGTGTTAAAAATACCTTAACTCGGGCCAGCCCAGTGGCGCACTGGAGAGTGCGTCGCTTGGGAGTGCAGCGGCGCTCCCGCCGAGGGTTCGGATCCCATGTGGAGACCGGTTCCCGCTCACTGGCTGAGCGTGGTGTGGGCGCAACACCGAGGGTTGTGATCCCGTTGCCGGTCCCCAGTACGGGCGTGACACCGAGGGTTGCGATCCCGTTACCGGTCAGTAAAAAAGACAAAAAGAAAAAAAAATACCTTAACTCAAAATAAAATACTTTAGCTCAAAAATAAAATTTTTTGATACAAAAAATACTGAAAACAAGTAATATGAAATTCACATAAACTTTCTTTACTATCTTGGCACATCATATAGGACAGTGGTAATGACCACCTTAGCACAAGCACAGGGTCATATCAATCACCTTATTCATTGGCATATTCACTATTATTAACTGCCTCACATTACATTGGCCAGAAAATTTCTCCTTCTTGGAGCTAATATATTTAATTTCTAGAAAATCAAAAATATATTATTAAAGTACGCACAAAGTGTTTAGTATAATATTCACAACTTGGCATGCTATTTGTGTCAGTTGTATTACATCATCAGAATATTGATTAAGTTGGTGATAGCATCTACAGACAATGGGAAAAATATATCTGCTTGATATTGGAGACTGTCTATATTTTTACTCATGTGCTTCTGCTAGCTATAGGTAACCCTCCCAGACCTGACAACTTTTCCCCCACAATATTTGGATGAGTTAAATTTCCACTGTATCACTTCTTTAGAAGTAATGCTTGACATGATCTCTAATGAGAAGAGTTGATAGTAGAACCCTTGACAATTTCTGTTCAGACAGTTGATCAGAATTCCAGTAGGCTGTGAAGAATGTTCAGCTTATGCTGATGTGAAATCTATCCTTATCAGAATATGACAGAAAGAGTCCTTGCCCAAGGAGAGGTTATCCGTATAAGTCCTAGAAAGCCAATGAAAAATGTTGCTGATCATTGGATGCAAAGGCATAGATTTCTTTTTTGGAGCTCAAAGTGAAATGAAAGTAGATTTTAGCTACGTAACTCAAGAAATTCTTCCATTTGGTACAAATTGAACATGTTTTTAAATGAGACATATCATACTAAAAGTATTGGTGATAAGGCACCACGAAACTTATAGTTACTTATAGTCTAGGAAACTTAAAGAAGAATGTTCTTCTATAGAAAACATAATCAATCCACACTTAAAATCTATAGGATTTGTGGGACTAGAGATTATTAAGAAATATAGCCAGGATAGTGAGTCTGTCTGATGATATAAAATGAGATATACCAATAGAAAGGATTGGAGGATCAATGGAAAAATAGATGGAGGGAAGGATGACTGAACTATGAATGGATAGACAGAAGGATAAAGAACATGTTTTCCTATGTTTTACAAAGAAAGAAGAAAATAAAATCATCACACCATTTCTAAATGGAATGCAAATTCTTTATCATTGTAGTCTTTACAGTTTTCACAAACACATTCACATTATTCAGGACATTTTTGAAAAAGGAGAAAGAAAAGAGAAAAAAGGCAATGCTTATGGTGCTATTTCCCTGTCATTTCAGAAAGTAAGTATCAGCGTACATGGAAGTCTAGTATTGCACCTTTCCTATCCACCACTTTTGAAATAACAGGGAGGTGAGAATATTTTACATGACATTTCACCAGAAATGTGTATGAGAGAATCATAGGTCTCTGATACCTAAGAGATTCTTCATAGTTTCCCTGATGCAGTCCTTAAACCATCTAGGGAAAATAGTGATTTCCTTTTACTTTCAATTTTACTAGAAATTTGATAAAGGGACACGAAAATCAACTGCACTGTATACTGATAAATTTAAAAAAAAAAAGAAATATATCAAAGCTTCCCCATGAAATATAAATGATTTCATGATTCTCAACTTTTTATAACATCATTATATAGATGTAAATTACATAAAAACGTAAAAAGATTTTTAAATCTACTGACTTACAAAATTTTCACTAGGACACTAGAATTATACAAATGGGTATATAAATTTAGGTTATGAACACTTTCGTTGAAAGAAATTAATATAGGTATGAACATTTTTCATAGTTTATTGTATTTCTAAGCATCCCACTTTTTGCACAGCTAATCTTAATGTGGTAAATGGAAAAATAACTAAAAC